CCCATCATCTTTTATCTGAATTATTATTATTATTATTATTATTATTATACTGGTCAAGTGAAGTAGTGGGAGTGGAGAAGGAACAAAGAAATCTGTAACTGGTTGTGATCAATTAGTTGTAAACACCACTACCCTCGGACCAACCTTATCTGAATTATTATAGGAGTTTTCTAATTGGCCCTTCCCGCTGTTTCTCTTGACCTACCTTCAGTTTGTTCTATACACAGCAGCCAGAGAGTGATCTCTGTTTCATTTTTGAGACAATCTTATGTCACCCAGGCTATCTGACACTCAGTACCTGGAGGAAGGTAAACTTGAACTGCTCATCCTCCTGCCTCTACCTCCCCAATGCTAGGACCACAGGTGTGTGTACTACATGCGGCTGAGAGTGACTTTAATTCAAGAAGGCCTTGCTCTATGGAAATGGTATTCCGTCCGGGGTGAATTCTCGTTCTCAGTTCACAAGTCAACTCAAGCCCAGAACCCAAGGACGGAAGGGAAGAGAAGGGTCTAGCAAAGGCCGGAAGCCTGGAGAGAACACAGGCCGAGTCACTCAGTCTTAACGCGTTTATTTGAAAGCCAAAGAGAAACTATTAGGAGGGTTGTTTTTTTTTTTTTTTTACTTTTGTTTTTTGTTTGTTTGGTTGGTTTTGGTGGTGGTGGTGGTGTTTGTTTTTGTTTTTGTTTTCCAGACAAGGTTTCTCTGTGTATCCCTGGCTGTCCTGGAACTCACTCTATAGACCAGACTGGCCTGGAACTCACAGAGATCACCTGCCTCTGCCTCCAGTTTGCTGGGATTAAAGGAGTGCGCCACAGCACCACCTGGCTTCTAATTTTTAATATATCATTATTTCATGTGTACGGATGTTTTGTCTGCATGTATGTCTGTACCAGAGGCGGTGTGGAACTGGACTTACAGATGGCTGTGAGTCACCATGTGGGTGTTAGGAATTGAACTCATCTTCTGCGAGAGCACCTGGTACTTTTAACCACCGATAAGGCATCACTCCAGCCCTAGGAGGTTTTTGAACCTTGAATTCTTTCCTAGCATGTCCAAGGCCCTGTATTTGTGTGGATTAAATTATTTGTGTGGATTAAAGGTGAAGATTCAGTGTGGGCATGATGGCTCAGTCAATAAACCCTTGCCACGCAAACCTGAGGACCTGGGCTGCATCCTCTGCACCCTTGTAAAAGCTGTGTCCCTCTGCATCCTCCTGAGATCCCAGTACTGGGGAGGTGGAGACAGACAACCTGGAACTTCCTGGCCACCGAATCTCACTGAATGGTGAGCTCCAGCTTCAGCGTGAGACACTGTCTCCCACGCAACAAAATTCCCGGCCAGCCAGAGATACATAACAAGTCTCTGAACCACCACCCTGGAAAAAAACAAAAACAAACAAACACACAAACAAAAAAAAAAAACAACAAAATCCTCACTGACATCCAATAGTGTGTGCAGAAACTCACAATGGGTCACACTGCAGAGAATGAGCGTCAATGGAGTGGGCACCCGCAAATGGGACAATACACACGCCCATCCCTTAGGCCCCAGGGATCCTCACAGAACTGAGGAGTTGGTCAATTTTTTGTTTTCCTTTTTCTTTTTCAAAAGGGTTTCTCTGTGTAGCCCTGTAGACTAGCCTGACCTCTAACTCACAGAGATCCGCCTGCCTCTGTCTCCTGAGTGCTGGGATAAAAGGCCTGTGCCACCACCACTAGGCAATTTGGTAAATTTTTCAGAGACCAGAGCTAAAGGATGTCTCTGGACACGACAGGACCACTGCACCCATAAATCTACAGCAGCTGTGGCTGCCTGTAATAAGGCATGCACTAGATGAAGCCAACAACTTCCCAGGAGGGAGTGGGAAGGGGGTTGTGAGCTCCTACTCCTAACTGAGGCACCATGGACAGCAGCAGATTTGGGGGGAGTTGGTGGTTTTCTTTAAGGTATGGCTCCTGGGAGGCCAACCACACTCGAGTGGTGGCTCTACACCGAGAAATATGAGGGCTGCACAAATTAGACTCAGAGGCTTTTTTAAAACAGTAACAAAGGCCAGGCGGTGGTGGCACACGCCTTTAATCCCAGCACCCGGAGAAGCAGAGGCAGGCAGATCTCTGTGAGTTCCAGGCCAGCCTAGGCTACAGAGTGAGTTCCAGGAAAGGCGCAAAGCTACACAGAGAAACCCTGCCTCGAAAAAACAAAACAAAAAACACAAAACAGGGCTGGAGAGATGGCTCAGAAGTTAAGAGCACTGACTGCTCTTCCAGAGGTCCTGAGTTCAATTCCCAGCAACCACATGGTGGCTCACAACCATCTGTAATGAGATCTGGCTCCCTCTTCTGTATACATAATAAATAAAAATAAATCTTTAAAATAAAATAAAAAAAAGAAGTTGACTTCAGATCTCTTCCTCAGTCTCTTGGCACTCATTGTCTCTGTCTACCCAGTGCTGGGCTTACAGTCACCCTCCATCAGGTACAGGAGACAGAACTCGGGTCCCCATGCTTTAGCGGCGATCATTTACTGTCTGAATCATCCCACCTAGCCTGGGTCATAACGTATCATTATAATTTTTTTATGTATATAAGTATTTTGCACTGTGTGTGTGTGTGTGTGTGTGTGTGTGTGTGTGTGTGCGCGCGCGCGCACATGTTAGTGTCTAGGGTCCTCAGAGTTCAGAAGAGAGGGTAGGATCCACTGCAACTGGCGTTACAGACATTTGGGAGTTGCCATGTGGGTGCTGGGAACCAAGCCCGGGTCCTCTGAAGAACAGCCACTAACCACGGAATTTCTCCAGTCCTTTGTTGTTGTTGTTTTGTTACATTTATTTATTTAGCATGTGTGTGTTTGCTTGATGTGTGTGGGGGTGTGAATGTGGAGGTCAGGACAATTACTTGGCGGCGGTTCTCTCTTTCCATCTTTGGAAGGCTTGGGCTTGGAGATTTGAATTCCGGTAGAAGGGTTCGTGTGGCAAGCTCCTTTACACGCGAAACCATCTCACCAGGCCCAGCCTGAGAATTTTGAGGGAGCACAGCATTTATAGCATACATAGGGATTAAGAATATTCCATTTTCTGCCTGAGTTGAAAGAGGGAGTAGGCATTTCTTCTAGGCATCACAGTAGACGAGCACCTTTACTTCCTACCTGGGGAGGGTGCGAAGTTTTGCCTGGCGCCTGGACGCGTCCATCCTAGGGGCTGGGAAGTATTGAAAGTTGGCTTTCAGAGGAGGACAAGAGAAGCACCCTCCAGGTGATTTATGCGTTACTAAGGCAACGCCCCTTCTCGTTCACCCGAGAGAAAAACTACAACTCCCATAACCGCCCGGGCTGCCCAGCCCCTCCTTAGTGGAGGCGGGGCGCGGGCGAGCGCGGAACCGGCTTTTCCTATTTCCTACGGTGCGATTGGTCCACAGCGCAGGCGCGGTGGCCAATGAGCACACTCTCGGTGAGCGGCGAGGGCAATATGGCTTCCTGCACCTGGTGACGGTTGAGGAAATTGACTTTGGTATCATGGAGAAATCGCGGGGCACTGAGGTAAGAGGGGAAGGGCTCAGCCCTGCCGGGAAAGGGAGCCCTGAACGCCTCCCTCGGCGGGTGCGCCGTTTGAGCGATGCCTCGGGGGTGGAGAGTTGCAGGATTGGGAAACTGAGGGCAGGAGCGTAGTCCCGCCCCGAGACCCCCCCGGGTTCGTTTTTGGCTCCTGATAAACTGTGGCCTCGGGTCCGTGGGAGACGGCAGGAAGGGCACGCCTCCCCATGCAGGGGCGTGGGAGCCGGGCTCTAAACTGTGTGCGCCGCTTCTTTGTCTTCTTGGCTTTAGGGATTGTGCGGCGGCCTGTCGCTTCCACGCGGGAAGTCAAGGGAAATAAAAGTTGATTATTAAAAAGTGGATACCACGCCGGAGCGTTCACGTGTCTGTCTCCAGTTATACGCATAGCCATCTTCTTTAGGGAGGGGTTAAAACAGCCTGTTGGGTTCCCCAGGATTGGACACAGCTGGAAAGTGCCAGATGCTGGCACTTAGTTTGTCAGTTTCCAAAACCTTGTTACGCCTTCCCCATGGTACAGGGGCGGTTATCCACCACACTGTGCATTTGAAGTCTCCGCTCTTTTTCAAGCAGTAATAATGGCCAGCATTTATTGAGCACTCTTCTGAGTGTTTTACTTTTTTGGTTTTTCGAGACAGGGTTTCTCTGTGTAGTTTTGGTGCATGTCCTGGAACTCACTCTGTAGACCAGGCTGGCCTCGAACTCACGGAGATCCGCCTGCCTCTGCCTCCCAAGTGCTGGGATTAAAGGCGTGAGCTACCACCGCCCAGCCTGAGTGTTTTACTTTTATCATCCCTACGTCCCAAAATATTATTAAATGGTGGTCTTGTTCTCATTTTGTGGATGCCGAGACGATGGGGGTTGACTTGCTGTGGATTGTACAGCTAGGAAGTACTAGAGATGGTATTTGAACCCTGAGTGTTTATGTAGTATCACATCTATACCTCACATTCTGTGAGCCAACACTTTTCTGTCGTAGATGAGAAGACTGAGGCCCACAGGAGTTAAATGATCCAAGGATCAGTAGCCGAATAGATTCAGAGCTTAACTGTAAGCTGTGGTACATACCACTATACAGTTACTATCTGTGTATCATCTTACGCAAATCCTCCTTGGGACAGTCTGGGTCTCAGTTTTTCTCAGGTTTCCCCTGCCCACACTTTTAGGAAGAAAATAGACTTATTGAATACACTGCCAGGGACAGTGGGCTAGGCAGTAACAGGAGTACCACTGCTGCCAGCCTTAAATTTGTTTTTGAGCCAGGTGGTGGTGGCGCACACCTTTAATCCCAGCACTGGAGAGGCAGAGGCAGGTGGATCTCTGAGAGTTCAAGGCCAGTCTGGTCTGCAGAGCTCTAGGATAGCCAAGGCTATACAGAGAGACTCTGTCTCCAAAAAAAAAAAAAAAATTGTTTTTGATTGAAATCATTTGGGTGTGCATAGACTGAACAGGGGAGAATGGATTTCAAATGCCTTCTGCCCAGGAAGTTTTTTGTTTGTTTGTTTTTTGAGGTGCTTGGAATATAGTTTCCACATTATTGTATAGACCTCTGATCCCTGTCATAATTTTTTGACTTTATAGTGGTGTGAAAGCAATATTTATTCAGAAGACATTGTACTTTGACGTTTGCGCAGTACCCAAGCTGCCCATATGAGAGCTCGTGGTGGTGGGCAGAGGCGCAAACAAACCACAGCTTGCAGTTAGCCATGCAGTCACTAGAGAAAACAACCAATATCCCGCTGTGCACTGTTTTGATAAGCTAGGGTAGGCTAGGTGGTCGGGCTGGACGTGGTGGCGCACGCCTTTAATCTCAGCCCTCGGGAGGCAGAGGTAGGCGGATCTCTGAGTCCAAGGCCAGCCTGGTCTACACAGTGAGCCATCCCTCCAGCTCCTCAATTTATCATATTTTAGTTGACGGTAGGTTTACCCAGATGTGACCCTATCCATATTCTATTTCATCCATATTAAAATGTCATCCCGTAGGGAGCTGAAGAGATGGCTCCGCAGTTAAGAGCTCTTACTGCTCTTTCAGAGGACCAGGGTTCAAATCCACAACCCACACTGGGTGGGCTACCGGGTTTGCAAATTCTCTTCCCACCTGCCATTCATCCACTAGGAGACGCCATCTTCAGAGCCAATGGAAGAAGAGGAGGACGACGACCTGGAACTCTTCGGGGGCTACGATAGCTTCCGGAGTTACAACAGCAGTGCGGGCAGTGAAAGCAGTTCCTATCTGGAGGAGTCGAGCGACGCGGAGAACGAAGACCGCGAGGCAGGGGAGCTTCCCACCTCACCGCTGCCTCTGCTCAGCCCTGGCCAGCCCCGCTCCTTGGATGGCAGCGGTTCTGAGCCAGGTGCCTTCACGGTGTCCTTAAAGATGGGGAGTAGTTGGGGGGCGGGGGGCTGTGGGATGGATGGACAGAGGCCGTGGGGGCAGAGCCATACAGATATCGAAGGGTCTGTCCTCTCCTGCAGTCTCGTTTCAAAGTCTCTGACAGCTCGTGTCTGCGCGGCGGCGCTTGTTAGATGACGCCGGCGCTTGTTAGATGACGCCGTTAGGGTAGTGTGGGTAGCCTGGGTGGTCCGCGTCTGGATGTGGGGGCGGGAGTGCAAACAGATAGCTTCTGGGCCGCCGCTGGGAAGTTGTGGGGGGACGTGCAGGTCAGAGGGCAGGCATGGAGGTGGGCAGAAGGGAGTGGCCCAGGATCATCCTGCAGCCTTGGATGGCTGCCAGACCCTGCGCCAGGGCTTCCGGAGTGTGAGCAGTGTGTCCTTGAACAGAGGCAGCCTGCACTCTGCAGGCGGGCCCTCTCGTTCCTTCACACTTGCACTCTTGGGGGTCAGGTTCCCTTCCAATCGTCTTGGCTTCTCCTCCCACATTTCTTCGTCTTTCCCCCTCCTATGTTCTTCTAGCCCTCTCCGCCTCTGAGAACTTCAGTCTAGCAGGAGTCACTAGGGAGAACAGCTGGTCCAGGGGCTGGTTCATGACCCCGGCTGCAGATTAGTCCTGCGGGAAGCTGATAAAGCACGTCAGATACCCTCACTGGAGTCCAGGCCAGTGACCCAGTGTGAAGTCAGGCGAACCCAGCTTGTCCACTTGCTGCTTGTGAGAACAGGAGCACCTTTTCTCTTGGCACTTTTCCTCTCCAAAACCTGTCGGCCAGTCTCTGCAGGTGTTGGGGTGCATTTCCAGTCCCTTAGCCCTGGCTCTCCATAAAGATCCAAGGGAAACCACCAGTCATCTTGGCTAGAGAGATGGAGCGGGGGCACACGCTGGTAGTCCCAGCTGCTGGAGAGGCTGATGGCAGAAGGTCAGCTGACCTACAGATTTGAGGGTAGCAGGTAGAGACACTGGCTCTTGGAAGAGAAGTGCACTGTCCTCCACCTCTTCCTCACTCGGTCAGCCTTAGAGCTGAACACTCACGGGGTTGATGCCGTGCTCAGGAATCTGAGGAGCCCATGGTTTTGTTTGACTTAAAGTAATGATGTCAGGGAGTCACATGCTGAGCTCTCTCTCTAGCGGTCTGTGAGATGTGTGGTATCGTGGGCACAAGAGAAGCTTTCTTCTCCAAGACCAAGAGGTTCTGCAGCGTCTCGTGTTCCAGGAGCTACTCCTCCAACTCCAAGAAAGCCAGCATCTTGGCTAGACTGCAGGTGAGAGCAAACCACTCCCACCCTCCCGGTCCTGGGTGCTGAGCCGGAGCCACCGCAGCATTGGAGGCTGAAGGCTCAGTCAGTTTGGGGAGCTCATCCCTAGTGGTCACCTGAGGTACACGAGACCTCGCCTCAAATATTGCCACCCACCCTCCTACCTCTGGCCCGGCGGTGGTGGCGCACGCCTTTAATCCCAGCACTCAGGAGGCAGAGGCAGGCGGATATCTGTGAGTTCGAGGCCAACCTGGTATACAGAGCAAAATCCGGGACAGGCACCAAAGCTACACAGAGAAACCCTGTCTCAAAAAAAAAAAAAAAAAAGAAGTGCCACCTCCCCCCTCCACTTCTTTCTTTCCTTCAGGTGTTTTGTTTTGTTTTTGAGATGGCCAGAAGTGGGTGTCAGGTAGCCTGGGACCTGGAGGCAGTGGAGGCAGTTATAAACTACCATGTAGGTGCTAGGAACTGAACCTGCGTCCTCTGGAAGAGCAACCAGTAGTCTTAACCAGTGAGCCATCTTACCAGACCCCTATTTTATTTATTTATTTATTATTTGTTTGTTTGTTTATTTGGTTTTTTGAGACAGGGTTTCTCTGTGTCCTAGCTATCTTGAAACTTGCTTTGTAGATCAGGCTGGCCTCTGCCAGCCTCTGCCTCCCGAGTGCTGGGATTAAAGGCGTGCACCACCATGACCCGGCTGGTTCCTCATTCTGTGGTAACTCCCACTGTAAGATTCTTTTTGTTGCTACTTCATAACTGTAATGTGGCTACTGTTTAGCTGGCCTGTTGAGTGGATTCCTGGCCTTTGTCATTGTTGCTTAAACATTACACATTAGCTTGTGTAAGTGAGCTTTTCCTGAGCCCTGATGAAAGTCTCTAGAATGTTCTGGAGCAGACTCTCCAAATGTTGCCTGTGTGTTTGGAGAGTTTCTGGCCCCTCTTCAGTCCCTCAGTTGTAGCTCTCCAAGGAGCTGGGAGCATGGAGAGGCCCGCGGGTGTGAGGAAAATGTTAAGGAGAGGCTTTTGGAGAAGGCAAAGGCCTGAAGGATGAGCGCCTCTCCCTCATCTGCAGCTCTGCGGACCCCATCCTTCTGTAAACATCTCCCGAGTGTTCTCACTCATCATCAGATTTTGTTTTTGTTTTCTGTGTAGCCTGTCCTGGAACTCCTTCTGTAGACCAGGCTAGCCTTGCACTCACAGAGTTCTGCCTGCCTCTGCCTCCCGTGTGCTGGGATTAAAGGTGTGCGCTGCCACCACTGCCCAGCTCATTCATCATCAGTTTTAACAAAGAAACTCAAGCCCAAAGAAAGTTAAGTAGCTGGACCAAGACCAGGAGCTTGGCCTCAGCAGTACCAATCAAAGCTCTGTTTCTCACTTGGTCTGCTGGCACATGCCTGGAATCCCAGCAATCAGGAGGCAGAGGCACAAGAGCTACAAATTCCAGGCCATTGTATCTCAAAAAAAACAAAGCAAAATAAAAACAGATCCCATTCATAGCTGTCAGCCTATGTACCCTTCTCTTCTTGACTTCCAGGGAAAGCCGCCCACCAAGAAAGCCAAAGTGCTGCACAAGGCAGCCTGGTCTGCCAAAATTGGAGCCTTCCTCCACGCCCAGGGGACAGGGCAGCTAGCAGATGGGACACCCACAGGACAAGATGGTGAGACAGAATCCTGGGATGGTGACCAGGCTGGGGAATGGCCTTTCCTAGGAGGAAGGACTGGAAAAGGTGGCCTGCTAGGAAGTTGGGGTCCAGGCCTGCCATGAACTGTCTCTACCTGTTGGCTTTTGTGGAAATGAGCTTAGGCAGTTCTTTCTTTTTTTTCTTTTTTTGGTTTGTTTTTTTTTTGTTTGTTTGTTTTGTTGAGACAGGGTTTCTCTGTGTAGCTTTGGTGCCTGTCCTGGATCTCACTCTGTAGACCAGGCTGGCCTTGAACTCACAGAGATCCGCCTGGCTCTGCCTCTCGAGTGCTAGGATCAAAGGCCTGTGCCACCACCACCTGGCTGGCAGTTCTTTCAATGGCCCTCAATTGCCTGGGTCTGTGATAACCCGGAAACCAAGTTAGCTGCTTTGTTTCTCTTTGCATCTGGTCTCCATGGCTTCTGTCTCCCTGGTGCAGGAGAGGTCCAGGGTGTATGCAGCAGGTGGAAGGGGCCTCTTCTTTCCAAGCGTAGTGAATGATGAGCAAATCACACAAAGCCTCAAAGAGGTTGAAACTGCACTGCTCAGCCAGGTGGGCGGTCTGCTGCTCTGTCTCCCTGGCCCTCGAGGGGTCTCAATGACAGTGCAGGAGGAGGAAGTTAATCCTAGGAGATCTGATCCATTTCCCCCTGTCTGTGGGGCCCGAAGGGAGAGAAGTTTCTCTTTGGATGCCCCTCTGCTCACGGTCCTGATGGCCATTGGTGGTGATAAAGAGACTCGTTCCTAGAGCCCGGTGGGGCTTCCAGTTCATGTTAACATGCTGCCGAGGATGCCCGGCTTCACCTCTTCCTCTCTGCTCTTCAGCTCTGGTCTTAGGGTTCGACTGGGGGAAGTTCCTGAAGGACCACAGTTACAAGGCTGCTCCTGTCAGCTGCTTTAAACACGTGAGTGCTCTGCAACCAGGGAGGGAGAGCCAGGGCGAGCCGGGGGACATCTCAGCTGCCTGCCTCATTGCTACCCACACATTTCAGTTGAGCTGCTCCAGGCTGGCCATTCCCCAGAAATCCTCCTCTGTCTTGCAGGGCTGGAGAGATGGCTCAGTGGTTAAGAGCACTGGCTGCTCTTCCAGGAGTCTTGAGTTCAGTTCCTAGCACCCACATGGCAGCCCACAATCACCTATAACTGTATTCTTGTGGGATCCTGTGCACTCTTTTGGGGTGCAGGCAAAGCACCAATATGCTTATACAATATATGCTAGATATAATGGTGTATGCCTTTAATTCCAGCACTTGAGAGACACAAGCAGGTGAATTTCTGTGAGTTAGCCTGGGTTATATAGTGTCTAGGACAGCCAGGGATAGAGAGATCCTGTTTTAAAAAGAAAGAAAGAAAAAATAAGAGTGTCTTGCACCATACATCACTGCCCCTGCTTTCTGAAGTGTCTACATACAATTATTTACACAATTGAATTTTGGTTTAGTCTGAGTTCAGGGGGTGTTCTTTTTTTCATTTTTGATGTTTTTCCCCCCATTAAAAATTGTTTTTAGCCAGGCAGTGGTGGCACACACCTTTGATTTTTCGAGACAGAGTTTCTCTGTGTAGTCCTGGCTGTCCTGGTTCTGCTCTGTAGACCAAACTGGCCTCGAACTCAGAGATCCGCCTGGCTCTGCCTCCCTAGTGCTGGGATTAAAGGCGTCCGCCGCCGCCGCCGCCGCCGCCGCCGCCGCCGC